TGTGGGTGTGTGTGTGTGTGTGTGTGTGTGTGTGTGTGTGTGTGTGTGTGTGTGTGTGTGTGTGTGTGTGTGTGTGTGTGTGTGTGTGTGTGTGTGTGTGTGTGTGTGTGTGTGTGTGTGTGTGTGTGTGTGTGTGTGTGTGTGTGTGTTTTTTCCCCAGGATGATCCAGGATGCTCCTCAATAGTCCCCGCCGAAAAAAGGGCACACGTCCGAGCGGTACCAAGGCTCGACCGTGGCTGAATTCTGAGGGCCCGCCCGGACCGTCTCCAGGGGCCCTTGCACGCCTCGGGGGCCTCCTGGGGCTCTCTCGGGGCGTTCTGGGGCCTGCCGTCCTGGGGCCCCCTTGTATTTTTTGTGGTTGCTTCCCTCTCGTCGACGAGTCGCGCCTGCTTGAAATCGCTCGAGGGCCTCTCGATCGCGCAAAGATGTGGCAAAATGCACGCGGGTCTCGACCCAGCAGCGCCCGATCGGGTCTCAACCCTGCGCGCGCGCTCGCGCGTTTGCATGTAACTCAATACCCAGAGCCATTTATCAAAAGTTCAAACGGAACTGATGGGAGCCGCGGCCTCCAGCCACGGCTTCCTCTCGGCGCTGGGCCCCCGAACGAAGACAGTCTCAGGCGGCTGCGCCGCAAACGATAGGTGTTCTGGCAGGCAGGCGAGCCTGAAGAGTCCAGCGGCGGCGATCCGCACCCCTAACCACTTGCACGACCCACCCCCCACCTCCTCTGTTCTCCGAGCCAAGGGGGGGTGGGACAAAAATTAAAATCAGTGGCTGCCTCACGCCGCGCGCGCCGCCAGCGCTGCCGCGGCGAGGCCAGGAAGCGCAGAGAGGCCAGCAAGGACGGCGCTGCGCCGGGCGAGGCTGGCAGCAGCCCGCTGGCCGGACGAGCCGCAGAGGCCGTAGTTGTAGACTCCAGAGCCGCCCACCGCTGTGCCCCAGACGAGCGCGCCGTCCGCGATGTCGTCGTCCGTCGCGGAGGAGCCGAGGGTCTCCCAGCTGCTGCCTACGACCTTGTAGGTGGAACAATATTCCACGCTGTTCGAGGTGGACTTGGAGTAGCCGTAACAGTCGTCCCCGTAGTCGCTCGTCGTCGGACAGCAACCGCCCAAGGTCATCTTGGAGCCGTCCGTGTCCGAGCACGTGAAAGCCGGGTTTACCACGAAGCATTTGCCGTAATCGCAAGTCGTGCCCGTGCTCATGCCAGACCGCGATCCATCATCGTTCAAACCGCACCTCACCACGCCCTTGTGGTACTCCGTGCTGGATCCAAGCGCGACGCCCGGGGTGTAATCGGTCGGGCAGCATCCATCATCGCCGTAATCCGCGACCTCCACCTCGTCGTCGACTCCCATCGTGTTCCAATCCGAAATCTTGACACACTTGGTGAACTCTGCCCCAAGGTCGTAGTCGGAAAACTTCACGGTCTCCGCCGCGGCCACGGCCGCGAACCCGGCGACGAGCAGGGCACGCGAGCTGGGCGCCATGGGGAATGGGAGGTATCTGGGACGGCGCCGAAAGGCTCCGCAAGCTCGTCTGCGGCAGCACGCGCCAAACAGCTGGAGCAAAATGGCTTGAGCCAAAATGGCTACGGAGCCGTCTTGGGGCCCTCTTGGGCCGCCATGGGGGGCCTTGTGAGATCCTCCTTGAACCCCTCTTGGCGATCTCGTGGGCCGTCCCGGTGCGCTCTGTGGGCAGTTCTTGGCCCCTCTTGGCCAGTCTGGGGGCCAGCTGGGACCCTCTCTCTCTGGATGCTGCTACACAGAGCTAAGCCAGCACACGATACACTGATGAGAACAGATACTATACCTGTCCTACCTCAGGCCTCAATCTTCGCTCCCGTTCTCGACGAGAACCCGGATGCCGATCTTGGGACTCCCGCGGGGCAGAGTGGGGCCTGTCTCGGGGGCCTCCAGGGCCGCCGCGGACGCTCGGGAGACAGAGAGGCAACAGTGTTGAACGTCAAAGCAAAAACACCTATTGGAGGCCTGGAAATGGGCACCAACACCAACACAGGGGGGTGCCCCCCACAAGGGGAAGATGATCCAAAATTCCGGTGTTGGTGGTAATATTTCGGCCACCTGGGAATCCCGAATATTACCACCATCACCGAGATCGGGATCTTCCTCCCTCGGTGGTGCACCGCCGAAATTGGTGTTGGTGTCAACCTCTAGGCCTGCGGACCTAGACTATGTTGGCCTCTCAGATTGAGCCAGAGTGGGGCAGTTCTGCCTCGACTGCGCAAGCGGGACCAGTACGAAAAAGAGCCACAAAGCAGGCGGCTTGCTTCTTAGCCTGCCAGAAGCTGCAACCTGGAGCCAAGCTCGTGGAGCTCGGAGCACACCCCAGCAGAGGCCCCCAGCCGAAGATCTCCTACCGGCGGCGCGCAGAGGGGGGTAGGGAGAGGCGGGAAGGCTTTTTCGAAAGAGGTTGCTTCCTAGACGGGGCCGGCCCTGCATCTACAGGCAAGGCCCGCGCCTTCTGAGAGGCACGGTTTTTTCTAAGAAGCCTCCCCCCCTCCCCCCTGCCCCCCGTCTGCGCGTGGCTGGTTCAAGGAGGCCCAAGAGAAGGCGGGAGGCCTCACATTGGAAGCCAGTCCAGAAGAAACCTTCAACAAAAAGCCAAGCCCTGAGACCCCAGGGCGACCGTCGATGTTTGGTGTTGGAGCGTCACGCCTTCCACAGCAAAACCCTCGAAACCTAAGAAACCCAGGGCACCCTGGAGGCTTGCAGGCTGTCGGGGATAGACAGAACCCCCTTTCGTAAAACGTGGTTTCGTGAAAACGACCTCCGGCCCAAACCTGCCAGGCGCAGGCCTGGAAAATAACAGCCGCGGCGCCCTCTCGAGAACCGAAAACGGACAATTCACTACAGTCGGACTTGATTGGAGAGGAAACGCGAGAGGACACGAGGCCCTTCCGAGGGCCACATTGCCACAGGAATGTAGGAAGCATGGGTCGCGAGACACAGGACACGAGGGTACCCTTGATTTGGCAGGGTCGACCTGCTAATCTGGGCCGGCTGTACAACAGGCCCCCCCGACGTCGCACAAGGCCGCTCCCCTCCTCCTCCTCCTCCTCCTTCTCCTCCTTCTCCTCCTCCTCCTCCTCCTCCTCCTCCTCCTCCTCTGCCCTCCTGCAGGGAGCGCGGCCAGCAGGAACCCGACGAGGAGGGTGGAGATGCGCTGTCCCTCGAGGGTCGTACGGCGGAGGCCCATGCCAAGAAACAACCCGCTTGCCTTCAGTAGGAAGGCACCAACTATACACCAACACCGATCCTGGCCCAGGATCACCCTGGGCCCAGGATCGGTGTATACGCCCTCCTGCCTTGGGCAAGAAGGCGTATACACCGATCCTGGGCCCAGGGTGATCCTGGGCCAGGATCGGTGTTGGTGTATAGTTGGTGCCCTCCGATGGGTTTCTTGGGTCTCGATGGCTTTGCTATGGAGAGCGCGGCGTTCCCACACCAAAAATCAAGGGACGCCCTGGGGGTCCTGAGGCTAGGTTTCTTGTGGAAGGCTTCTCGTGGACTGACCTCCACTGTATTTTATGATTTCCCTTTGGCGCCCTGCGGTGCGATACCTACCGCTTGAGGGTAGCGTTGGGCTGGCGCGCTCATGCAATCGAAACTGGCACTAGGCCGCGTACACTCGTCCATCGCTTTGGTGGAACTACCCGCCGAGCACACACACACACATCACCGTTCGCCATGCACTTCAGAATGAGCGAACGATTGGCAGGGAGACTGGAACTTGAAACAATGGCGGCGCCCGCCTTGAAAGCCCGACTCGTGGACCCCCGCAGGATGGCCGTGCAATTCTCGGGCCGGGCGAAAGGGGGGGACAGCAAAGGGGCGGGTTGAGAATCAGCTCACGTAGCTGATTTTCCCGGCGCCTCCGGGCGCCGGAGGCGGCTGTGTATCGAGGAATGGGCCCCATCGGTGGGGCCGAAACGAGCTGCATGCAGCAGATTTCGTATCCCCCCCGTTCCCAATCCCCCCCTTCGTCCGACCCGAAATTCTCAGGAGCGCAGCCTCCTGCGGCGCGCCTACGCGCCTCCCGCAGACGCCGCGTGCCTGATCTCACTTGGTGCCTTCTGCTGCTCGAAGATGGCGAGGGCCTTCTGCAGGCACGGGCCGCTGTCGAGGTCCTCGAGCAGGTCGAACAGTGACTGCCTCTTCTTGTGGATGCCACGACAATAGACACTCTAACAATCCCATCATTGAACTAAAGATGTGTTAAAAGTGAAAACCATGTTCTAAAACTATGTCAAACATTGTTGTTTTACATGTTCAAAACATGCCTGAAACATATTTTAGACATCTGGAAACTATTTCGTTGCACGCTTCCTCTCCATTAATCGACTTCCACAAGCCTCTTCTCGCCAAAGAGCACAGCGGGATCCTGCATCCAGGCGCCAATGGTGTCCGCGGGGACGCCTGTTCGGATGAGGGCCTCCCCGAACGGGTCCCCCGAGACGTCCGTGGCCAACCAGTTTGCCCTCTCGGCGAGCCCTTCGAAAGCGCTCGCGGACGCGTGCACTGCGTTGTCACCCATGTCCGGCGCCGCGGCGAGCCCCAGGGACTCCCACTGCTTGTAGATTGCGTTGCGGATGGAGCCCTCTGCGGCCCCCTGGGGGTTAGTGCCTCCGATGACCTCCCCGCGGAACTTCTCCCAGGGCAGCGCGGACGAGTCCCACTCGACACAGTAGAGCTGGATGGCACCCCCAGGGGCCGTGAACCTCGCGCGCATGGCCTCGTAGAAGCCGTTCACGACAAAGACGTCGTCCACGCGCGCCACGTAGAAGCCCCCTCCGAACTTCAGCTGGTCGACGCCGCGGTAGGTCTTGCCCCAATCATCGCTCAATTGCAGCGGCGTCTTCCCCAGCTTCGCCGCGGCGTCTCGGGCGTTGTAGACCAGGCCCTGCTCCAGGGCCGAGTCCCAGGAGAGGCCAAAGAGACCCTCGAAGTCCGCCCTCGGCCCCGCCTGCACCACTAAGTCTGCGGGCGCCAGCCGCATCGCCCTTGCTGCGATGGCGCCGTAGTGCGTGTCAATGAGGCCCTTCTCGTCGATTGTCTCTGCGTCAATCCGGCCGCTGTGGAGGATGCTGATGCCGCAATCCTCTAGCTTCCTGCGGACAAGACCCTGAACGGACTCGTTCAGGGCGTGGGGCTTCACGAAGACCACGGCCGAGTTCGTCTGCAGTGTTCTAATGTTTCTTGCCTTCTGTACGCATGCGTCGCTGTCAAGATCCTCGAGCAAGTCGAACAGAGACTGCCTCTTGCCATCAAAGAACACAGCGGGGTCCTGCATCCAATCCTTGATCATGCCTTGCCCCAATCCTGCCTCGGAGAGTGCCTTACCCAAAGGGTCCTCGGACACTTCCGCGGAAAGCCAATTCGCCTTCTCTGCGAGGCCCTCGAACGGGCTGGCCGACGCGTGGACGGCATTATCCCCCGTGTCGGGCTCTGCGCCGAGCCCAAGGGCCTCCCACCGCTGGAAGATCGTGTTCCGTATGGAGCCAACGGCAGCCTCCCTGGGGTTGGTGGCCCCGATGACTTCGCCCCTGAACTTCTCCCAGGGCAGCGAGGCGGGGTCCCACTCGACCTCGAAATACTGGATGCACGTGCCCGGCGCCGTGAACTTCGCGCGCATGCCCTCGTAGAAGCCGTTGACCACGTAGACGCTCCGCACCTTTGCCACGTAGAAGCCGCCTCCAAACTTGAGCTGGTCGACGCCGCGCTTGGTTTTGCCACATTCCTCGCTCAGCTCCAGAGGACCCATGCCCAATTCGCTGGCTGCATCTCTCGCATTGAAAACTAGCCCCTTGACCAGCGCTCTCTCCCACGGAATGCCGAACAACTTCTCGAAGTCAGCCTTTGGCCCTGGCTGGACGACCAGGTCGCACGGCTTGATCTTGAGAGCCCTTGCAGCAATGGCCCCGTAGTGTATATCGATTAGGCCCTCGCGGTCTATCGTTTCAGCACCGATGCGGCCGCTGCTCACGATGCTCACGCCACGATTATTCAGCGTAGTCTGCACCAACTCCTGCACTGATGCAGTGACGGCATGTGGCTTTATGAACACGATCGCACTGTTCCTGGAGGCGTTGGCGGCGTTCTCCCAGCTCTGGAACACTCCGTTCTTGCAGGCGCTCTGGCCCATGGTTGCAAGCTGTCCCGAAGATCTTGTGAGCCAAAGGGACTCGTACTACGGTGGAGAAGGCGCTGGAGCACGAGGAAGACTCGGGGCTCACGCAGGAGCGGAGCGCCCGCGAGAGGCCTTGCGCGTTCCCCGAGGTCTCCAATCGCCCAGCAACCGGAGCACTCGAGGGCAACCTGCTGGCATCCTGGGCACCCTGGGCACTTGCGGGCCGGCATCCTGGGCATCCAGGGCATCTCCAACGTCTCCAAGGCTGACATCCTGGACACCTGAGGGCAACCTGCCGGCATCCGTTGGGAGCGGCCAAGAGGGGGGTGTCCAAGAGGGGGGGTGCAAATCATGACCGGCGGCGTGTGCGCGGCCCCAAGCGGGGGGGCCTGGGACGTGATGAAAATAAGAAGAGGCGCCATGAAATCTGAGGAAAACTCAAGGCCCGCGCCATGAAATCCACCCCCACTAGTCATCACCCCCCTCTTTTCCGCTCCCGAATCCTTGGCACCCTTGGGAGGCCCGGAAATTGGCACCAACACCAACACAGGGGGCTGCCTCCACAGGGGAAGATGACCCTCGATTTCGGTGTTGGTGGTAATCTTTCGGTCCCTTTGGGAGCCAGAATACTAACACCATCACCGAGATCGGGATCCTCGTCCCTCGGTGGAGGAATACCGCCGATATTGGTGTTGGTGTCAACCTCTAGGCCTGCGAATCCTGGGCATCCTGGACGCCTGCTAGAATCCTGGGCATCCTGGGCACCCTGGACCCAGACCCCCGACGTCGTGATTTTTTCACAACGTCGACCCCCAGAGGTCTGGACCCTTTCCCCGGGACCGGTTCTTCGTCCTGAGTCGTTTTTTGAGGGTCCCGAGGCCCGGTAAGGGCCCCCGGAGGCCGAAAATAGCGAAAAACCTCCCGTCGTGATTTTTTCACGACGCGAGGAGGTCTGGGGACGCCTGCTGGCAGCCATGCCCTGCTGGCACACGGGGGCGCCTGCCGGCGCGCCCCCCCTCGGCCCCCTGGAGGGCCGCGGCGGGCCAGCACTCGCTCCGGGCGACCGCCGCTGCCCAGCGCCTCGTGGGCTCCTCGTGGCCTCTCCACCGTGGCCAGCTCCAATCGGGGCGTGGACCTAAGGAGCCCCAAACAAGGAACGAGGCCCCTATTTTTCCATAAGTGAAACTTCGGCTTCCCATCGAACACGTAGGGAAAACCCGAGGCAAGCTGTGAAACACGAAAGGAACACGGAGCCCCTCCCCAACGAAAAAGGGTCCCTTCCTCAGGGCCCCGACTGTGTGGTGGCCCTCGCCGCCGCCTCCGAGCACAGAGGGCGCGGAGTGCGGGGCTCGCCGCGCCCTCTCTTTGACTACCTACCAGACCACCCCAACCCAACCCGCAGACCCGAATCTCGGGTTGGGGGGGGTATGGGCTCCATCTGTGTTTTGTTCGACGTTCCCGGACCCCCCCCCTAGAAATCGAGTGTAAATCTGAGCCTTCGGGTTGGGTTGGGGTGGTTTGGTGGGTGGTGACTCTCTCCCTGGGCCCGCCGCCGCCCTCCCCGTTGCCTGGGCCGCCCTCCTCAAGCGCGCCGGCCAAAGCGAAACTGAGCAGCGTGATCATTGAGTCGAAGGGAAGCCCCTTCCCTTTGATCCCTTCCCCGCCAGGGGGTGCCCGGGGGGTCCCGGGGGGGTCCCGGGTTAGAATCCCCCCCCTGGGGGGCCTGGGGCACAAAAACGTCCCAAGACGAGCCGAGAGTGCCCCAAGAGGCCCCCAACACGCTCCAAGGGGACCCCGAATCGCCGAACGATCGGTCCAAGACGTCTTAGGGCCTTCAGATGGCCCAAGAGGGCTGCAGACGCCCCAAGAGGTCTCGAAGAGCACTCCCAAGAGAGCCTCAAGAGGCAAATGTTTCTTGATTTTCCTAAGTTATTCAAGGGCTTGGGCGTTCTCGCCTTTTCAGCTTCCCGATGCTCCAAGACGGCCCAAGAGGCTCCAACGATCGCCCCAAGAGGCCTCCCAGAGGGTCCCGAAACGGGGCACAGAGGGCCCGAAGACCGCCCAAGACGCCTGCAAGACACCCCAAGAGGCCCCCAAAAGGGCTCCAAGAGGGTGCCCACACAGGGGAACCAAACGGACATTCTGAGCCCTCCGCCCCGAGAGGCTCCAAGGAGGTCCCAAGAGGCCCCCAAGAGGCACCCAAGAGGCCCCCAAGAGGCTCCAAGAGGCCTCCACAAGAGGCCCCCAAGAGGCTGCCAAGAGGCCTCCAAGATGTTCCCAAGGGCCCCCAAAACTGCCCTCCAGAGGCCTCCGAGAGCGCTCAGAAGAGACCCACACAGAATCCCAAACGACTCTGAGCCACGTCAGCGTCGTCGTCGTCGTCGTCCTCCTCCTCCTCCTCCTCCTCCTCCTTCAGGGTCGGCGGCACCGGCCGTAAGGCCTTCGCAATAATCGAAAATACTACAAAAATCGTCCCCAGGCTATGTTTGACTAATGTTTGAACCTTCCTCCTGTATGGAGCCATGCCCGACTGAAGGCGGCTGGGGGCGGAACGGACGATCGGAAGGCGCCAACCAAGCATCGGCATACAAGCGGGCTGGTCCCGTCCTGGGCCCATGATCGGTGACAACACCACCTTGGCGGAGAGAGCCCGAAGGGCGAGCGTGCCAACCATGGGCCTCAGGCTGGCCTGGCCAAATCGGTAAGGACCAGGCCTGCGTATTTCGATCCCGCCTGGGATCGACAAGAAGCGCCCCAGGACGAACAGGGGGAGGAGGGGGAGGAACAGCGAGAGGAGGAGCCGCGGCCATCTCACGCGGAGGATAAGGCGATCAACAAGGGCGACAAGAGAACACTTATGCAGGGATTCCTCGAAGGGTGGTGGGATGGAGGTGGGGTGCCTGGCAAACGATCTGGACGTGATGCACAAACCCATCATGCAGATCTGCCAACCAATGCAGACGATCTGGACCTCCTCCTCGTCCTCCTCCTTCTCCTCCTCCCTCTCATCCTCCTCCTCCTCTTCCTCCTCCTGCTTCTCCTCCTCCTCATCCTCCTCCCCTAATTACAACAGCGTGGAAACGCGACAGTGCTTTGACAATCCTGCTCGGCAGCGTGACTCGCATGACCATCCGTACAAGATAAGCTGCGCAATGAAAACGTGGTGGCACGCACCGCTAAGCGTGGCCAGCTGAACGGTCCTCCAACTGCTGGCTATCCTCGCAATACCGGCCGAAAACGGTGATTGCCTCGCCGATGGTCTCCCTCTCTCTCTCTATCTCTTTCCCTCTGCGTCCCTCTCTGTATCCCTCTCTGTCCTCGGCCTCGTGGTCATCGGCAAAACCCCCTTCGTCGCCCCTTTGATCCTCGACCTCCTCCCCTCCAGAATCCGACGGAAACGGTGCTTCTGTGCCGTTCGGAGCGCAGTACGGAGGTCAACCTCTTGCAGGCACACGGGGACTTGGGGCTCACCCTCCCTGTAGAACCTGAATTTAAGGTTTCGCTGGACGCGAGGGGACTTTGCTCCATGGCCTATGTCAACCTACAGTGGAGGCCAGTCCACAAGAGACCTTCCACAAGAAACCCAACCCTGAGACCCCAGGACGTCCATGGATTTGTGGTGTGGGAACGTCATGCTCTCCATCGCAACACTATCGAAATCCAAGAAACCAAGGGCACCCTGGAGGCAAGCAAAGTGTTTCTTGGCGTGGGCCCCCAGTGTACGCTCACTTCTTGCTTGCCCCCGTGCACGCTCACACCTCCTCACGTTGACATGGCTGGAGGAGGAGTCGTCCCCCCAGGCACCTTCGAGGAGAAGGCCTCCTCCACTGCTCGACTCGGACCTTGTCTAAGCCGACGAGCCATACACCTGCCACCATCACCAGCCTGCCCAGAAAACATGGCAGTTCACACATTCAAATTCTCTCTGGACTGCCAAAATATCCAGACCGAGTCAGACCAAAGCAGGGTGCCACGACGGCCGATCTGCCATCGGCCCCCGCTGCAAGCAAAGGAGTGGCCTGTTCAAGGGTGCGTTGCGGGCGCGGGGAAGTACTCGAAAGGAAGAAGGATAAAGGATCCCGCGCCTTCTCCCCGTCCCCCCACCTCCTCCCCCTCCCCCTCCCAGCAACAGCACTGGCCATCCCCTTGCCATCGCTCGGACGTCCATTCCCCGTGCATGTGTCGGTTTCGTGCGTGCTGTTTTGGCTCGATGGTCAAGGATGCTGCTCGATGGCCGTCGCCGAGAAAAAATGCACACGTCCGAGCGATGCCAAGTCCCCGCGGGCTCCCCCGAATTGCAAAAAGCCCTGGTCCGTCAGGACGGCAGAGATCATCAAGGATAGACACTACTCACGCCGACGCCTGTGGTAGCCCTGCTGGTGCGGTGCGCGCGGGCACAACGTCCGACTCGAGTAATGGCTCTATGTCGAGCGCCAGTGCAGCAGACGCCCAGCAGTAGCAGCAGAGGTCAGCAATCAGGAACAGCAGGCTCTGCTTTTGCTGGAGAGGAAAACTCGCTTGCAGCAGTTTGTGTATGCCCCAGCGTTCGCCCTCCTTTTCCCTCCTTCGAAAAGCAAGACAAGAAATTGTGAGCTTGATGGCACTCGCGTGTTCTCTGAGTGGCAACAGCACCGCCTTTTCCAGGCGCAGTCGAAGGATTGTGAGCCGGCCCCTGCCACTCTATCGCGAGTTGTTTTCCCGTAGCCTGTAGCAGGACACGGCCTCTGTGCCGATCGGGAGTACCGTACCGTACCAGCGTTCGCCCTGCACTTGTCCGCCTGTCGCGTTCCCGTGTCCACCTCCAGTCGCCGTCCTCCTCCGCCTCCTCCTCCTGCTCCTTCGCGTGCCGCCCGCCAGACGTGCAGCAAATGCCAGTGCAGGGTAAGCCAATGACAGTCTCACAGCTTGATGCTTCCCTGTCAGGTCCCAAACCAGGCACACAACGGATGCGAATTAAACTAATTAGTTGTTGTCGCTGGGACTGTATGTCTGATTCGGTTACAACCTTACCAGAGAGCTGCCCCCCCTTAAAACCTGAGAAGAGAAGTAACAACGCACATGCAACGCTTCAGGACGCCCAACTAACAACAGACAGGCAGACTGACAGAAGCCATACGCCCAAAAGCGCGTCGGCAGGCTCCACAAAAATGGTGGTGGGGGTCACAAGAAAGAAAGAGACAGAGAGAGCGAGAAAGAGAGATAGAGCGAGAGAGCGCGAGGAAGGGAGGGAGCGAGAGAGAGAGA